AATAATAATAATACATATGTATGTATTTATATATATATATATATATATGTATATATGTATATTTATATATATATAACGCACCTATGTAACATATTGGATAAGTCCTTAAAAGCTAAAGACTGTGTGATACAGAGAATTATGTAATACACAGCGGTTTGAAGCGTGGATGTTTTTTTCCATTATCTATTCAACACTGAATGCGAATGGTTCGCCCCCCGTCATCACGCCTCTGCTTTTATATCACTCTTCCGCGTTTCTACCAGCGCTCGTCTCGACGACTCTGCCATCTCTCTCTCTCTCTCTCTCTCTCTCTCTCTCGCTCTTTCTCTCTCACCTCATCATTTTTCTCCTCTCTTTTCCATTTACTCGCTTATTCACCCTGTCTTTCGCTCTGTTCGCGTCTCCCAAACCATTCTCTCTCGGTCTGTTTTAGTCACTCTTTTATTCCCCGTACTTTCGCGTCGAATCAGGTACTCACTATTATCTCTTACCGTTTCGATTCACGTTCACACTCGTTTCTTTCGTACACATCTCGGCCGGAGTTTGTCGTTCAAAACGACACTCGCATCCTTCCATCGAGAAGACGACAAGCTGCTGTTTGGCAACGTGCTCGATCAACGAGTGAGAAATCCTAGCCTCCAAGATTCAGTTCGGATCGATTACATGCCAGCGTTCCTCTTAATCTTCAACTTTTCCTTTTTTTGCTCTGGCCCGTTCGACAAGATAGAACAAACGATCATAGGCGGAAGAAGGAGGGTGTGTAGTTGAGTGGCTGGTTAGTTATCCGTTCGGCTGGTCAGCTGACTGGCTTTTCCGATCTGGAAGCTTCCACACCGTTCTCCACTGAGTCGTTTGAACGAAAGGTGGGCGGACGATCAAGAGGGCAACAGAGAACGTTCCTTTTCGCGCAACAGCGTCTCTACTCACCGTGAGAGAAAAAGGACGAGCGAACGCGCAAGGAGAAAAGAGGAACTCGTGAACCTCTTTCCACGGGAGAATCGAACTCGGAAGAGAGAATTTGTGGACCGTCGAATCGTAGCCGCTCACAAATCTCGTATTATACTCGCA